GTCCCCCAGGCCTTTCCTCCTAGTTTGTCTAGGTCTAGAAGCTCTGTTGAGTCTTGTTCGGCATAATTTTCTAGCCTCCACTGACAGATGAGTGATGCCTCTGGTTGATTTTAGTTTTTATTGACATAATTCATGTATCACACAATTGAATAGCTCGGTCATTTATAGAAGAGTTGTTCAATCATCATCACAGTTTTAGAATATTTTCTTCTTGTAGTTATTGTTGTTAGTCCTCCGTCGCCCCCCCAACCTTCCTTGCCATGTCCTTAGGTAATTATTAATCCAGTTACTGTCTATAAATTTACCTATCCTGAGATTCATATACAGAAAAAAAAGGCAAAACAAGTCATTAAACATAAACAACAAAGACAAAAGAAAAACCTCAATCTAAAAGAAAACAAAATGATATAATCTGAAACTTTAAAATGAATCAGATGGAAGATCAAATAATAAAGTATTACATTTTAACCTAACTGCATCTGCCATAATCATTTTCTTTCTTTTTGTTATAATCAATTTTACGATGCTTTTGTCTGGTAGCAAAAGTTTTTCATCTGTGGATTATGGTTAGAGGCTTAATCATCATGGGGATTTGGGGTTTCCACCGTCATTTATAGCCTTCTGTAGACCAGGTGTTCACAGTTGAATCTCTGATACAGTTCCCGCCTCTAGATTTGGATTTTATTATTTATAATAATAGTTAGTATGAAACTTTCATTGCTGTTATTAAAACTAAAGCACAGGCTGATGTAATTCTTCAGTGTGGACTTAGTTGACGCTCTGCTAGATGGCTGTTTGTTTTGAGACAAACATTTAAGACCTCAGGTACTATTCTTTCTGATTGCCAGACACCATCAAATTTCTTCCTCACACTTTGCCATATACCCGTATATTCAGTGATCTCTCCTTAAGGATGAGTATTAAGTTGGGCTATATCATAAGAACTAATTTTTCTTAGATTAAGGCTATGATTAAGTGAGCCCAAAGCCCATTAATGTATCTATGTTTTATATACATCCCTGGTTCATTTGAGAGACAGCTGGCTCAGGAGAGTTGTTGCTGTGGACCAATAACTTTATCTTTACTGCTTGCTGATCCTGACTTGTAGTAACCTATTAACTTCCCTAGGTAGTGTATTGATTGTGAGTATGGGTTGTGAATTTTGAGTGGCCATTGCAACAATTTATTGAGCCCAGCATAGAAGTAGAGTGCCCTGGCAAAATGGGTGGTATCAGATTAAAGAAGGTGATGATGAGTGAAGGCATGGCTGACCCCTGCCTCATGGCAATAGGTAAGCCAGAGGAGGTCAGATAGGCCATCCCCACACTGTCCACTGCACTCTTTAACCAGTATATTAGCATTTTTTAACTTTAAAGAAATTCGGTTTTGGTATAGTATTCAAAAGGGTGTATAGAAAGAAGTTTTATCTTCTATCCCAATCTATGTTGGGCTGAGTTTGCTAGAGAAACACAACTAATGACATATACATGTATGAGAAAGAATTTTATATCAAAAAAGTGGCCCAGCCCCATCCAACTCATGTCTATGGGTCAGATGCTAACTGGAGAAGCAGGGAGAACACAGGCTAGTGGATATAGAGTTACCTGAACCCAAGGTCCACAGGAATGTGGTAGGGCACAAATGCTCCTAGGGTCACCGTGGGCCACATGTGCTGCTGGTCCCAGTTGTGCAACATGGTGGTCAAAGAGAAAAGAGGTGGACAGGAGAGAAGTTCTCCATAGGATCTCTCATCAAAAGGCCACACACCCTGAAGAGGTGTTATTAGGCTGTGACCTGATTGAGAGGTTGGACTCCACCCCTGTCTTCGCACAGTTGACATAAACTCTAACCATCCCACCATCACTAACCATTGGACACCCTTCTTCAGAGTAATGACTGTTAGCTATTTTGTTGTATTTTCTTTTGGACATCTAAAGTGCATAAAAAAGCATAAAGATATATTTTTTACTCACATAGTATTTTTTATCTCATTAAAATTACAATATATCATGTAGATTATATAATATCTGAACGTATATAACTATTTCATCCTTGATAGCTGAATAATGTTTCCTTGGATGGATATACTATACTTCCTTCAGCATGTTGGGTTACTTCCAGGCAATGCACAATAATGTTCTTGAACATATGCCCCATTTCACACATAAACTCTATAGATTGTGACCCTTCGAGTTTTCATTAATTTTCAGAACTAGATTACAAAGCCGTTCTTTTAGTTAATCTTCTTTTGAAAGTTCTGATGGAACTGGTTCGGCATCAAAAGAACTAGCAGACCTACGCAGACAGATACATGGAATGCATTGGCTAGGAGCTGCATCTGGATCTCCTGCATGGAGAGTTATAGGATGAATTGCTATTAGTAAAACTGTTTTGCACTTTGATGAGCGTTATTGAATTGCTCCCCATAGAGTTTGTACCAATTTATACTCTCAGTAGCAATGGATGGAAGTTTCTATCTCCCTTTAATATCCACCCTTTGATCGTTGTCATTTTAATAGATTAAGACTATGTATCACATTATAGATTTAATTTGCACTTCTTTTAAGTGAGGTGAACTTTTCTTTTTTTTTTTTTGAACTTTTCTTTTTAAAAGTCTTTAAATTTCTCTTTTGGTTGAGTGTGGTCATATTTGATTTTTTTTCTTCAGCTGGCCTTGTTGATATTTAGAAGCTAGAAATTAGATTTTACCTCTTTGTCAATTATTTTATATAGCTTCAGAACTACATTGAATTTATTATTGATTTATCTTATTTAACATACATTTCATACTTTGTTTAGAAAGGCCTTTCTTGGCAGTTATTTTAAAAAACTACGTTTTCATCTAGTGTTTTACTGGCTTCATTTTTTGTTTGTCTTTGAGTTATCTGGAATTTATGTTGATGTAAGATATAAAGTAAATATCTCACGTTATTTTTTCCTAGGTAGCCACTTAATAGTTTTAGCATCCTTTGTATCATCTCCTATGAGCAAGGACCTTTCATGCAGATGGAACTGTGTTAACAGCCTGCCCGGCACTTAGTGAAGACTACATACCTGAGAAGTGTGTTGGTTATTGTTGGTATTCTTATGGCAGCAGATATGGTGGTTATGATATAGTTTTAGGAGATTAGAAATTCAGGATGGGATTCTTACATAAATATTGAAGTTTAGGTATGGTTATAATTTGTTGGGACATAGTTAGAAGACTGAAAATACAGGTGTGTTAGTCTGGGTAAACTTAGGGAAACAAATCCACAGAAACTCATATGTAAAAGAAAGAGTTTTATATAAAGGGTAAGTGTACATTAAGAAAGCATCCCAACCAAGTGCTGTCCAAGCTCGTAAGTCCAACGTTAGCCCATATATCGGACACCAATCTACAAAGTCCCCCTCAATCTCACAAAATACACGCAATGATGCCGACTGCAGGAGGAAAGCCAAATCAGTGAGCATGTAAGTGTCTCAGCAGTGGCAGGGGTTTCCACACGGCTACTCCAGCACCCAGGGCTGCATCAAGGTAGGTTCATGTAGATTCTCCTAGGGGATGTCTCACAGGAAGTGAGCCTTGCCAGCTGTATCAGGGAACTGGCTAAGGCGGCTGCACTCTGGTCCCACCATCAGAAAGCAAGAGACCTGAGAACTAGAAAGGTGAGGCTCACGGAGCCATTTATCTCTCCGCCCTTCAGTTAATCCCACATGTGTTTCTAGGCCAGGTTGGCACAATAAACCTTAACTATCTCAACAGGAGAAGGAAAGAAATGTACCAACACCGAGATTAATCTTAAACATAAGACTGGAGGTAAGGATGTCTGAGGTAGAGACAGTGCTGAAGAAGAAATTCAGTTTGCTAAGAGTCAAATGAAAAGAAGTTTTATTGAGGAATAAAACAGCAACTGCTGGGTAGCACTTGATAAACATAGGTGTCCAACTAGATCAGAGGTGGCAGTGAATTATATACACACAGTGTAGTGTGAGTACAAACTTTTTCCATTATCAGTAGCAATGGATGGAAGTTTCTATCTCCCCTTAATATCCACCCTTTGATCGTTGTCATTTTAATAGATTAAGACTATGTATCACATTATAAATTTAATTTGCACTTTTTTTTTTTGCTCACAAATTCTTGAAGACAGATGGCGTAAAAATTTTCCAGCAATATCATCAATGCTCCCATCTTATTTTATTTAAAAAAGTAAAATTATTCTTATTTAAAAAAAAACACAAGTGTATAGTTTAACCTCCTTCCTTGTTTGCCCAAGAGTGCTCTTGAGTTACTGTATATACTGAGTATAAGCCAACCTGAATATCAGCTGAGGCACCTAATTTTACAAAAAAACTGCATAAAAAATGTGCTGGAAAACTTGGCTTATACATGAGTATATATGGTAATCGTTTAGTCAGGGGTCCTCATACTATGGCCCGCAGGCCACATGTAGCCCGCTGAGGACATTTATCCAGGTGCTTTTGCCCCATTTTGTTTTTTTTTACTTCAAAATAAGATACATGCAGTGTGCATAGGAATTTGTTTATAGTTTTTTTTTAAACTATAGTTCAGCCCTCCAGTGGGTCTGAGGGACAGTGAACTGGCCCCCTGTTTAAAAAGTTTGAGGTCCCCTGGTTTACTGCAAGCGTAGCCAAATACCTCTAAATTGAAGTTCTCCTAGCAAAATAGATAGCTTGGATATGAAGGTGAAACATTGATGGACTTTTTTAAAGAGAGGAATTAGGACATGCAAATATGGAGGTCATTATAAAATATTTGAGGACAGTGTAAGATAGTATTTGTATTATTTTTTACTTTAAAAAAAATAAATTTGCGTTAGAGACTTGTTACTCAAGATTTGGTTCATCAAGAATTTTGTAGGATTGGGTATTTGTTAGCATTATCAGAAAAAAGCAAATATTAAAATAAAATTACATTAGACACAAAATTAGCTGCTAAATTTTCTTTTTTGTGAGACGGATACCTACCTTACTTTTGTCTTTTTCTTCCCTTATAGGTCACCCTTGCAATTATGGATATTTAAAAGGATCTGCGAGTGTGGAGGGGGAGTTCCCCTCTCCACTCCCCCTTGGTGCTTGACTTTAGGAATAATTTATAAACTGGGGGAAATTTTTGATAAAAACTTTGTAATAGAACTATTTATAATTTTTGTTTTCATTTTAGTGCCAAAAGAAATTATATTAATATACATAGTTTTATACTGTTGTCCTGAGGATTTAAATTGCAATCCTCAACAGGCCATATATACTCTTAACTCCTCTTGAGGAGTAGCATCTTTGTGTCCTGGCATTTTCAGTTTTTAAACAGCAGTATTAACTGAGTATTCTGAAGAAGTAAGCAGTTTAAAAATACTAGGATGAGTTCCCTTAGCCCTGACTGCACATCGAAGTGTCGATCCCTGAAGCATGCTCTGGACATCCTTTCGGTGATAACAAAGGGGAGTGAAGGACAGATTAAGACTTTTCTCTCTAGTCATTGTTACAACGCTGCAACTATCAAGGATGCTTTTGGCCGGAATGCCCTTCATCTGATTTCCTCCTGTGGAAAGAAAGGCGTATTAGATTGGCTTATTGAGAAAGGAGTGGATCTCTTGGTGAAAGACAAGGAATCAGGATGGACCGCTTTACACAGAAGCATTTTTTATGGACACATTGACTGCGTCTGGTCTCTCTTGAAGGCAAGTTCTTCTGTTTAATTAAAACTGTCTGGCCATGCATGTTTTTCTTAATCGTTTTATTTGCCCACTTACTTTACAAAAAGGATTTAGTTAGATTTGCTGTTACCACTTGTTTGATATATTTTACTACTATAATTCGTCTTTGGAATTAAAGTCAGTATTAGACGTGGTTCTCTAGAGAAACAAAACCAGAATGCTAATAATTATCTCTCTCTCTCTCTCTCCATATATATATATTTATACAGATAGTGTATTAGTCTGGGTACTAATACTGAGAACCACATCCACAGAAACTCATGTATAAGAGAGAGTTTTATATAAAGGTTAAGTTCACATCAAGAAAACATCCCAACCCAGTGCTGCCCAAGCCCACAAGTCCAACATTAACCCATTAACCCATATGTCCAACACCAATCCACAAAGTCCTCCTCCATCTCACAAAACACACACTGTGATGCCGACTGCAGGAGGAAAGCCGAGTCAGTGAACATGTAAGCATCTCAGCGCTGGTGGGGGTCTCCACACGGCTGCTCCAGCACCCAGGGCTGCATCGGGATAGGTCCATCCGGCTTCTCCTTGGGGATGTCTTAGAGGAAATGAGCCTTGCCAGCTGAAGCAGGAAACTGGCTAAGGCCACTGCACCCTGGTCCGACCATCAGAAAGCAAGAGACCTGAGAACTTGAAAGGCGAGGTTCATGTAGCCATTTCTCTCTCCGCCCTTCAATTAACCCCACATGTGTTTATTGGCCAGGTTGGCACAATAAACTAATTATATCAGATAGATAGATATATAACATAAGAAATAAATAGTTGGTGACATTTACTAATTAAAATAGTTTTATTATACATTAATAGTAGAAAAATATTTTATTGGTAAGAATCTACCTAGGTTTTCTATTTACTGGGTCATCTTGGACAAGTAACATAATCTTAAATCTTGATTTTCATCTGTAAGGCAAAGTTAATAATATTACCTTTCTCTCCCTCCAGGCAGGACCAATGAAGAAAATGCATACCCAGAGTTTATTAATAGTATTATTGAATAATCTTATATCTAAAAGTCCTGGGATATACTTCAGTCCCGATTAATTTCCTCTTTTATGAGGAAAACTAGATGTACAACATCTATCAGTTTTACTCCTTCCCATCTCTAAAGCATTGGCATTTTCATGTTTCTTGTGAAAAGTGACTGATTTCCAAGCCTACATACTTTGGGAGAGTCACTAAGCCTCTGGTTTATAAGTTGCCATTTAAGTGTCAGGATTTGAAGCTTCATTTGGAAACGGTTGTGGTCTGATCTGAACTTTGGACCTTCCCTTCCTTTAGTGTTTCATTCCCCTTTAGAGATCTGTAATTATCAAGCAATAACAGTTAAGAGGATGGGCAGTATCTGACTGTTTAATTCTTGTCTAAACAGGGTCATTATGAGTCAGAATTGACTCAAGTCACCTAAAAACAATTATCCTCACTCCTGAGGAGAAGTCAGAAAATCATCTTGGCTTGATTGGCGTGTAGAAACCTTTTTTGACCATTCAGTGTATTGTAAGCCATCTGGATGTGCTCTGTACATTAATCTTTCCTTTGACCTTCCACCCAAACCCACTGCCATTGAGTATTGAGACTCATAATAAATGTATGTAGGGTTTTTGAGACCGTAAGTCTTTATGGGAGCAGACAGTCTTATCTTTCTCCCTCGGAGCATCTGGTAGGTTTGAACTGCTGACTTTATGGTTAGCAGCCCAACACAACCCAGCGCTCCAGCAGGGCTCCTTTCAACACTTCTTTAATGAGTGATCGCAGTTTTCGTGTCAACCCTGTATCTGATGCCCACAATAGCACTCAGATAGTTTACATCGGCAGGAAGATACAATGTGCACGTGTATATTTAAATTGATTTTCATGAAAACTATATGTATGAAATATTTAAGTACTAAAATCAATTCTAATGTATATTATATGCACACATACGCACTTGCACATTTTAAGCTCCTAATTGGCAAAAATATAAAACTTTAGCAAAAATTCGGCTTCTGTAAAAAGCTGGAGTGGAGGTAGTATTTCTTGCGTAGTTTTCCTGTGGTTCCTTGGCTCTAGGACAGGATGTGTGGTTGACAAAGACTGTGCTTGTAGGGTTCTGTTTCATCTTGTTGCTCTACCATTATTCTGGAAGAATTGATTATTTTACCTTCTCCCAGTTACAAATGGAAGAATTTATAGAATCATAAGATTGTGTTGATCATAAAGCTGTGTACCTGGTAATAACTAATTACATTGCATAACAAGATGGATAAGGTCTCCTCAATGAGTTTTCCTTCTAGTAAGGGGAAATAGACTAAAACCAGATAATTAAACAAATAAAAAAAAAAAAGAAAACCTTTCTTGATTTATTGCCCTGGACCCTCGCTGCTCCTTTCTACATGCAGATTTTGAACTTTGGTTCTGCTTTTGAGAAGACAATCAAAACAAGCCAAACACGTTTCCTATATTTCCTAACAGACTTTCCCAATAGTACTACCAGTGGTCATAGTGCACTAGAGCGCACAACAGAATGCGATCCTGTACCGCCCTGTGCCATCGTCATAATCGCCAGCATGTTGGAGTTCATCATTGTATCTGTTGTGCCAGTCCGTCTTACCAAGCACCTCCCTCGCCCTCACTGTTCATTCCTTCATAAAGCGCACTTTTTTAGATATTGATCACTCTTAATGACATGTTTGAGGAGCCCTGGTGGTGTTATATGTTGGGCTGCTAATCACAAGGTCATCAGTTCAAATCCACCAGTCTTGCCACAAGAGAAAAATGAGGCTATCTGTTCCCATAAAGGTATACAGTAGTGTTTCCCAAAGTGGGTGTTATTGTCCCCCCGAGGGGGCTCTGGAACTGTTCAGGGCTGCAAAAGCAGATACCTACACTTTATCCTGGGTTAGAGGCTATAGTACAGAAGTTTCTAATTGCCAGGGGGTGCTGAGTCATTTTTTTTCCTGAAAAGGAAGACAGTAGGCCAAATAACTTTGGGAACCTATGATTTACAGCCTCAGAAGCCTACAGGGATAGTTTTGTCTTATAAGTTCACCATAGTCAAAATCGATTTGATGGAAGTGAGTTTGGATTTTTCTTTTTTCTTTTGTGGTGACTTGTTCAAAGTGATTGAGTTAAATGGTGTTCTTTTGTGATCCATAAAATTTCCGTAGCAACTTAGAAACCACCGCAGTATGACACACTGACAGATGGTGATAGTTGTAGAATAATTGTGTCTAAAGTCCATTCATTTCTTAGGGAGACATGAGATATTCAGGCTTGTAAGCCTCACATTTTATATGCTATTTAGTTAGCTAATAAGTTTTGCCCGTTATTTTGGACATGTGAAAATTGGACCAATATCATTTAGAGATTAAGATAAACATGTTAGAAAATGTCAGAGCCCAGCATATATAGGGGGTTCTGAAGGCAAAAGTTGTCTGAAATCTTTTATGCAATTAGGGCTGATTAGGATGATGCAAATATGTCTAGTCTTACCTGAGTCCAGTTTGTTTTTATAAAACATGGAGCAAATCAATAAAAATGCCAAAATAAAATTTCTAGGGATCTATGAATAGCTTGGAACACTCATCCCTGAAAACTACCATTGTTACTCTTACAAAGACTAATGCTAGGTCCTCCCACCTGAATTTCTTATTTTTGAAAGTATAATTTAAAATTTTATATGACCTTAGATCATCACTTCTGATGTTTGTTAGCTCCCTAATTTGAGCATGTTCTCTTGATTGACATTTCGGGAAACCATCTAGAACAGTAAGAATTGATCATAGTTTATTAGAAATCAGTTGTTAAAAGTGAAGAGGAGATTTTTAAGTAACTTAAAATAGAGCTATATTTTGACATGTTAAAATACTATGGTTCATCTTATCCTTAACTACCCAGGTAAATTATGTGTGTGGACAGGCAGTGATGGCTCACATTAGTTTAAATAAGGTAAAGTTAAGCAATTGTGGAAAGTCTTACAATGTTTGACAGCAAACGTTAAAATATGTTTTTGAGAAGCAGCACATTTTATATTTTAAAAACTGCAGCCTCTGATGCCAAGGCACAAACTCCTCTGGTTGTCTCCCTTCCACCCCCATACACACAGAGACAGCAATACCCCACCCTCCTTATTAAATAAATGTCTTCACTATGAAAAAAAAAAACTGTAATGGTGGAATGATGTGAAATGTACTTTCTTCTCTGTCTTCCTACTTCTCTATTAGATTTATTTTCTAAGAATAGATAGTAATAGGGATAGGTGTGCTAACTACTTGAAATAAGTAGCACAGAAAAAGGTTCCAGTTTATGTTTGCATTTGCATTGTACGCATAAAACTCTATGGATTGCGTTAAATTACTGCTTAGAAACACATATATATGTCCTAGAAGTTTTTTTAAAATACAATCTAATTATATATGTTTCTCAAAAGGCCACAAACAATGCTGTAAAAATGAGTTAAAGTGGTAGGATAAGAAAATAGTATCCATCATAAAAATAGAATTAAAAGAGTACAATTGTCCTAGTAATAAAGACAGAATTCAAGGCAAAAAGAAATAGCATATAGGACCATGTCATATTTATAAAGAATAAATCTTAAAAAACATTTAAAAAGAATCCTAATACAAGTTTTGCTCTGCCATTGCCTTGCAATTTTTCCAGCCTCTACCTATAAAGACATAGATAATATATACATTTAGTTGAATTCCAAAAAGTCATACACATAGACCTAGGATCTTGTAGGTAACAGCACCTGCCTTACCATGGGAAGCTTTCATAAGTAATTCATATTGACTTTAGATATTGTTTATTTGATTCATGCTTTCTGGTTCTTCCTTATCCTACCAAGACTTGGATAGTTATTTTTTTCTTAGTTGTGAAAAGTTTACACACACATCAGATTATTCTAATTATTTTGTTTACCTTTCCTTTTCCCTTGTATTTTTGGACTTGAACACCTGATTCGTTAATAGGTAAGAATAAGAAATTGATTAAAAATGTTTCACTTTTATTTTTTAGCATGGTGTTAGTCTATATATTCAAGATAAAGACGGCTTATCAGCTTTGGATCTTGTTATGAAAGATAGACCCACTCATGTAATATTCAAGGATACTGGTAAGAAAATTACAGAAATAAATTTTATTTATTAATTTGTAAGTACAGCTTAGAAAATTTTAATCAATTTTTATTTTTTAAAAAACCTAGAAGATTTGTGTGTAGCCCTGTGTGAGGAGTTTTTACTTTGGTGTGTTGATCGAAATTTTTGGTTTCATGTTCACAAGACTTATTTTGTCCATTTTTGTCTGGAATTTTGTCCGTAAGTATAAAAATATAAAGTGGAAAGGCAGTTAGAATTCTATTGTAAAGTAATTAATGTGCACACCAATAGCAGCATTACATTTGTATAGAGAAAAAAGGAATGGCGAATGGAAATGATTCTTCTACCCACACATTCTAATTTCACTTATCCCTCCAGTTTGTTTGTCCATTGAGCTTTGGAATTGGGAAGTGGGGGAAAAGGAAAAGAGGTTAAAATGGGCCCTATCTAGTTTACATTTAACTCGTGAGCCAGCTAAATAAGGACACATTCTTCATTTTTATTTCTACCTTGGACACCACATTGCAGCTAACAGTAATAATTCCATTCTAGAACTTTATCAGCATTCCAAAATAAAGTGAACATTTCTGTCTTACCTCTGATGAGACTTCATTCCCAATCTAATGTCATTTTCACCTTGATCACTAGTGTATTTTACACCTACCAAGAGAAAAGTACTGAAAATTAATGTTCCTGTGGAGGTAGAAGTAATGTCACATTGGCTTCATTTGAAACTTTTTTGTATACACCTTGAAGTTAAAATAACTACATATGATATTCATTGAAATTAAGTATTCCTTTGACTGCTGAAAAACAAAGAGCAGTTGTTAAGAGTATCTATACTGAGAGTTGCTTGTGTTAGGAATTAGGTCTTCTGGTATCTTCTGGATTCAAAATTTAATTTTAAAAAATGTTGGCATCTTTCTAATCATGATTAAATCAATTCCTATAAAAGGTCATGTTTTAGCTAAACGTATTAACAGAGTACTTCTATAATTGAAATAAATTTATATTTGTATTAAAATCCTAATGGTGTAGTAAAACTAATTTTCACTTTAGACCCTACAGATGTCTATACTTGGGGCGATAATACAAATTTTACCCTGGGCCATGGAAGCCAGAATAGCAAACACCATCCAGAGTTGGTGGATATGTTCCCCAGAAGTGGAGTTTATATCAAGCAGGTAAAACGGAATACTTTTAGATAGTCAATGGACTTTTCTTACTCGATAACTCAGCTTCTCCTTTGGTTTCTATTAACTAGGTTGAAATGCAATAACATTTTATTCACGATATCAGTCAAAAGAAATTTGCTAACTTTTTAGATATGTAGGTCCTAATCATATATAGAGACTATGTAAAATACCCTAAGATATGACGTGTGCTAGTGCCTACACAGTGTTAATAAATTGGAAAGTACTGTATAGATAGTCACTGGATGGTGGAAAGAGTTAATAAGCTGGCTGGCTAAGGGAAAATTTGGCAATTCAAACCCACCTAGTGGCTCCACAGAAGAAAGCCCTGTTAGAATGTTTCAGTAAAGATTGCAACACAGAAAACCCCATATATGGAGTGGTGCTACTTGAACAGGTGAGGCAGCAATGAGTTGGAATCGACCTGATGGTGTTTTTCATCTGTGAACTTGTTAGGTGTCTGTGTGGGTGGAGTGTGGTGGGTGTTGCAAAGGTAGTGGATTGGAAGAGGGGAGAAATGGAAGAGAGATATATGAAAAGAAGAAATTTGAAAATACATATAAAATTTCTTAAAAGTTGCATAATATTCTTAAAGATTTAACATACTAGAAAAAGAAATGAAATATATGAAGGACATGCTGCACACACTATCTCCTAGTCTCAGGTATAAGCATAAGGCATCCTCACTCTTTCATAACGCATATCGCTATTTAAAATCTTTGTACCTCATATTGCACCTCATTATATTTTTATTGTTTGTGATTTTATGAAAATGGAAATTATCTGGCTCCTACTTTTCATAGTTGAAGACATAATATACATTTTCTTTGTTTAGGTTCTTTGTGAGTAATATCTGAGGGGATCCCAAAAAAACACTGGAAAAAAGCTGCGCTGGGGGGAGCTTTCATAGTATGCATTTTTCCCACTAGGGAAGCATCAGGCAACTTGCTCTGAGTTAGTGCACCCAGTGGCATCGTCTGGGAAAGTTCTCTCTGGTCACAGTGAATTTTTCATGAAAGAAGTTTCCTTGTTTTTTGTGATGGCTGATTTAAGAGAACAGCATGCGGCTGTGAAATTCTTTTTCCTGCTCGGGAAAAATGCCACAGAAACTGTTGAGATGTTGAACACAGCTTACAAGGACAGCGCTATGAGAAAAACTCAAGTGTACAGTGGTTTTCTTGTTTCACAAAAGGTAATTGATGACAAACCATTTTGGAAGTCTGTCAGCTTCCCAAACAGAGGAAAATGTTGACTCATTCATTCCACCTGGTCAGACTTTTAATCAAGCTTTCTATTTAGAGGTTCTGAAAAGATTGTGTAACTGTGCATGACAAAAAGGGCCTGATTTGTGGGGAAGTTTTGCCACCAGGACAATGCATCTGCTCACCACCGCCATCTCAGTGTGCCGGTTTTTGGCAAAACCATTATGCCTCTCTTGCCCCATGCAGCTCACCTGACCTTGCTTTGTGAGATTTGTTTTTCATTTTTGTAAATAAAGAGGGACATGAAAGGAGAGTGATTTGATGACATAGAAGAGGTGAAGAAAAACATTGAGGAAGGTGCTGTCAGCCATCCAAACAGATGAGTTTGAAAAATGTTTCCAAGAATGGAACTCCAGATTTGACAAATGTATTAAGTGTAATGGAGAGTACTTTTTAGGTGATAAGGTTGTTTTGTAGAAAAAATTAAATACATAGCTTTTGGGGGAAAAATGCCAGGTTTTTTGGGCACCCCTCGTACACATAATTTCTCCTTTGTTCTTTTCCCATGTGCCTCTGTTTTTACTCATAATTTTATGGTGAAGTGTGTATTTGATTTTTTTTTATTATAGAAGCTTGTAACTATATAAAAAAGTAGAGTGTAATGGATACTCATGTACTCACTGTTTAGTGTAAATAATTAGCAATATTCTGCTGCAAAAGTGAAGTAAAAAATATTGCAACCCATTGTGCAGTTCATCCATATACAGGTTTATCAAAACGTATTAAATTACTCATGTCTTTGCAAATAGTGGAAGGCTGCAGACAATTTCTCTCAGTAATATAATTGTCTTAGTCTTGTTAAGTTAACTTCCAAAAAACTCCAGTGGGCACCTTCCCAAATCATTGACGCTTTGCATTAAGTTTATGGCAATACTGCCCACACATCACAATTGTTTTTAGATAGTTCAATCATTTTCAGGAAGATTGAGTAGATCTCAAAGATGAGCCAAGAGAGAGAAGACGTGATGAATGGAGAAGCTGGCTAACGTGCAAACAGTGGTGGAAGAAGACTGTGGAGTTGACATGGCTGCGGATTGCTGCTGCAGCTGGGATCTCATATGTTTGGGCCTTTTCACTTTTAAGTAACTCCTTGACCGTAGCAAGCCTTCAATGCACTGGGTACCAAAGGTGTTGCATGAAGATTAGTTAACTCAAAGAGCCTTTTAAGTAAGATCGAAGCTAATGAAAGCTATTTATGGAATGAATCATAACCAGGGATGAATCATGGACTTACCAATATGTTTCCTGGAACAAAGTCCAATCAAAACATTGGCTTTTGAAGGCATCTGCAGGCACAGTTAAGGTCAAGGCAGAGAAATCAATTTAGAACTTTATGATGATGGTTTTGGAGATTCAAAAAAAGCAATCTTTTATCTTTTTATTGTGAATTGGATGACTCTTTACCGAACAGATCATGTGTTATACATTCAGAAATTCATACACATTTTATTTCATTGCTTATCTTACCTGTGTTTTCTGTTTCCATTCCTTTTGAACCCTTTTGAATTTTGTCCTTGGGCAAATGCTGCCTTTTTAACTCAACTGGTTTATTATTCAAGATGTGCATACCACCCAGTTTTATTGTTCCCTTATAGACCTGTCTGGTATTTGGTTGAAAATTGAGCCATAGGGGCAAACGCAGGTCCAAACCTGAAGGATTACTAAAGGTTTAGAGATTCTTCTAGTCTCTGTTCAGTCAGTAAGCCCGAACTCTTTCATGATTTTGAGTTTTGTTCTACATTTCTCCAACTCTAACTAGGACTTTCTAATGTGATTCAGAGCAAGTGGTAGAATGTAGCCGAATGCCATCCAATTCTAGTCTCAGGATTATGGTGACTGATGTTCGTGTGGTGAATAAGCCACTGGACTAATGGTTTCCATGTGTCTTCAGTTTTCAAGGAATAATTTGATAGATTTACTTTTGAAGGATCAGTACAATCATGGGGTCTCTATGAGTTTATGAAAACTGAACATGGCGTTGGTGAGAAAAAGGCAAGGAAGGTTGAACCAAAGAGGTTTTTTTCCCCGTCTTGACAATGCACCTGCCCCTCTTTCGAGGGTAGCAAGGACTGCCCTTTGAGCAATTCTTTGGGAAACTTTGCCCAATTCACCCTTCATCCCTGATCTTACCCCTTCAGATTTCTTTTTGTTCCCCAAATTCAAAGAACATTTCAAAGGAACAGGGTTTGAGGCCCCTAGAGGATGGCTGAACAGCCATTTTGACGTGGTGTTAATTGAAGTGCACATATTTCTTCAGGGAAGAGCGATAAAGATGGAGACACTGCCTTCAGAAGTGTTTGTAGACCGAGGTGCAGAAGATGTCCCAAACTGTAGTCTCACTTTTGATATTTTTTCTTAATAAACAGATCTATGATTTTCTAGCAAGACCTTTGACTTACCATTGTGTGTGTGTGTGTGTGTGTGTGTGACGTAAGGAAGTTTTATTTAGAGAAGGTTAATATTTGCTTATTTTCCCTTTAGGTGGTGCTTTGTAAATTTCACTCAGTGTTTCTGTCCCAGAAGGGACAGGTTTATACCTGTGGTCATGGTCCGGGAGGACGTTTGGGACATGGTGACGAGCAGACATGCTTGGTAATAAAATGTCATTACACCATTTACGTAGCGTTAGTTGAAATTTTGGTTTATTTAAAGCATAAATAATTCTTATTTTGACCAATTATAAGGAAACATTAAGTTTATTTTGAAAACTCTTTCATGATATGTTCATACTAAGGATTTAGATAACATGCAATATTTTAAACCATAAAAAATTATACTATGAGTATGTATATATTGAATCACTAGAGTATATAAGCTTTAAAGTGTTTACAGACTTTAATTAAAGAACTCAGAAGGCAGATTAGTTATAAAGTTTTTCTCGAAGAAGTACACTTTGTGTTGCTTGTAGCGTCTTCTATGGCCTAGTAATTGAGACAATATTTTTATTATACAATCACCAAACCAAATCTTATATAGTTACTGAGACTTGATGCTAATTGAAAGCAACCATTACATTCTAGAAAAGTGACTCCTTAGGTTATTCTTAAAGATAAGTTTTATTGCAGTTTTGTAATTGTCTTCATCTTATATACAATGACAGCTGTCACAATGGCAGTCTTTATTGATTGCCTGCTCTTTGCCACGTACTATGGTAAGTTGCCAAATCCTTAACTCCCAACATCAGCCAGATAAAGTCTATTATACTCTACAATGCTACTAATTTGCCTTGCACACTCAGAAAGGTTAAGAAATTTGATTGAGATCAAATAGCTAGTAAGTGACAGAACTGATGTTTGAACCTACAACAGGCAACTCAAAGGACCCTATCTTCTGTTATTCGGTGAAAGGATACATGGAGTTTTTGTTTTGCTTTGTTTTTCTCCCCCCACTATGCCAATGAATTCTTTGAAATCAGAGTTACTTTTACTTATAATAAACAAATCTATACTTGGTATATGCTAAGGGCTCAAAAATCATTTGTTGAGTTGAAATATTTTCTTCAAATGACTTAATTGAGGATATTGGGGGCATAAACCAACATCCATATGCTTTTAAGCTCCATCTGGCCCTTGCTGAAGTGTAGTTTATAGTAGACAGCTGTGTTTACCAGTCATTTAATGTTAGATGTGGTATCATCAGATTCTATTTGTGTACCCATATGAATGGTTCATATTTTATGTTATAGTTTATTTTATTTTATAGGTCCCGAGGCTTGTGGAAGGACTGAGTGGTCATATTTGTTCTCAAGTCGCAGCTGCTAAGGATCATACAGTTGTATTAACTGAAGATGGATGTGTTTATACATTTGGTCTAAATGTTTTTCATCAGTTAGGACATATTCCCCCACCTCCCAGTTGTAATGTCCCCAGACAGGTAAACAACTCCTTTTTAAACAAGAGGGTGACCATATGCTATGCACTGGAACAGAAAGACATTAAGTTATTGACAAAGTAATACATTTTACTTAAGTGATTTAGATTTTCTTAGGAAATGTGTATTTTTTCCACAAAATAAAAAAATTAAATATAAGGTAGATTAATATGAAGGGGCTTCAAAAAGTTTATAGAAGAATTTCATGATCTTTAATTCCATTGTTTTCCATGAACTTTTTGAAACCTCTTGTACTATAAGAATATGGAAATGAATCATTAAGTATAAAGCCCAGGGCCATCAAATGGATTCTGACTCATAATGACCTCTAGGGTAGGGTAGAATTGCCCCTGTGGGTTTCTGAGACTTCTTCTTCTTCCTTTTTAAATCCTTTAATTGGGGGCTCTTACAGCTCTTAGTGCATACATCCATTGTGAGGAGAACATTTGTACATTTGTTGCCATCATCATTTTCAAAATATTTTCTTTCTACTTGAGCCCTTGTTATCAGCTCATTTCCTCTCTTGCCCACACTCCCTCCCTCATGAACCCTTGATTATTTATAAATTTCTTTTTCATGCCTTCCACTGACTGCTTTCTCCCTTGACCCCCTTTTCTGTTGTTCATCCCCCCTGGGAAGGGGTTACATGTCGATCATTGTGATCGGTTCCCCCTACTCCTCCCACCTTCCCTCTATTTTCCTGGTATCGTTACTCTCATTATTGGTCCTGAGGGGATTATCTGTCCTGGATTCCATGTGTCAAGAGCTCTTATCTGTACCAGTGTACATGCTGTGGTCTAGCCAGATTTGTAAGGTAAAATTGAGGTCATGATAGTGGGGGGTGAGGAAGCATTAAAGACCCAGAGCGAAGTTGTATGTTTCATCGGTGCTATACTGCACTCTGACTGGCTCATCTTTTCCATGTGACTCTTCTGTAAGGGGTGTCCAGTTGTCTACAGATGGGCTTTGGGTTTCCACTCCGCCCTGCCCTCCCCCTCATTCACATCAGTATGATTTTTTTGTTCTGGGTCTTTGATGCCTGATACCTGATCCCATTGACACCTCATGATCACACGGGCTGGTGTGCTTCTTCCATGGGGACTTTGTTCCTTCTCAGCTAGCTGGCCACTGAGAATGCTATTCTTAATGGTAGTAGAATGCCTTATATTTTTCCTGAGGGAGCTGCTAGTGGTTTCCAACGTTTTTATAAGTGGAGGTCGAGTAAATGTGAAATGTACACTATTTTGAGATACCTTATTGAGGAAAATTATGCCAAACTCTAAATAAAAAAGTCATATGGGAATGAAGCACTGAGAAGCCTGAACTTTATTTCTGCCTTTGCACAGAAGTCATGCCTGGGGGTCTAAAAGTTGTTCCACTTTTTCTCATTCATTTGCATTAACCACCACCAGGGGGCGGCCTTTCCCCAATTTTAGTAATTGAATGGAGAATGGTAAGCTATTATTTCAGAACATAAAAATTTTCATTTTGAAGTTAATATTCTATTTTTTTTCTTTTCTTTAAAATCATTTTATTAGGGGCTTATACAATTCTTATCACAATCCATATAAAAATCAGTTAGTAAAGCACATTTGTACATTCATTGCCCTCATCATTCTCAAAACTTTTGCTCTCCACCTAAACCCCTGGCATCAGGTCCTCATTTTTTCCCCTCCCTCCCCGTTTCCCTCTTCCTCTTGAACCTTTTATAATTTATAAATTTATGGATTTAAAATTAATATTAGGTATACATTTTTACTAATAATTGTTTAAATTTACTTTGCTCTTCTGTATGATGAGGGAATCAATAAGTAGCCCTGGTGACACAGTGATTAAGCCCTCTGCTACTGACCAGAAGATTGATGGTTCAGAGCCAGTAGATACTCCATGGGAAAAGTTTGGGCGCTCAATTCTGTAAAGATTACAGCCTTGAAACCCTCAGGGGCACTTCTGAGTCCTGTCGGGCTAGTCGATGTTGGAATTGAGTCAACAGTAGATTTGAAATAATTCGTCTTCATCTCCAATTGTGGTACTTCTTAGTAGATACATTTTCCTTAACTATCGTAGGAATTTGTGAACATTTAACTGTTTTGTGGGCTATTTCAGTATAGTTTTATTCTGTGTAGTTTTATTCTGTTTTCATGGTATGGCTACATTGGAGCTCTGGGTAGATTACAGACGTGTGTGGTTTTCCACTAGAGGCAGTTTGTACTCGCGGGGCATTCAGCAGTATCCAGAGACACATTGGTTGTCATACATGGAGTGGGAGGTGCTGACTGGTAGTGGGTGGAGGTCAGGATATTGCAGAATATCTTGTGATGCTCAGGGCAGCTTGTACAACAAAAGTATCTGTTCAATAGGGTCACTGTTGAGAGACCTAGTGATGCCAAAATGGAGGCGCTGTGGGTTAGATGTTGAACTGCTACTAGAAGGTTGGTGGTGTGAAACCATCAGCCGCTCTGTTGGAAACATGAGGCTATTTGCGCCTGTCACGATTTACTGTCTCAGGAACCCTAAGTAGCAGGTCTACTCTGTCCTTTCAGGTCATTATGAGTCCGAGTCGATTCAGTGGCAGTGAGTGGTTTTTTATTCTTTCAGTTTGGTGTTTTCTGATAAGAATGAGAATGCCTGGTTTTTCATGTTGCTTGTTAGACCAAAGAAGAGCCCAAAGCGTAATGATTTGGGTTTTATACCATGTCAGTTTCCCACATGTTAAAACTGCTGAATGCAAGTGGCCATGTTGGAATGTGTTTTGTCCTGAGAAGGGCTCATGTCTTAGTGTGAGATCTGTTTGTGACAACTGCCATGAGCACCTGAGGGGGCAGTGGCGGGCATTATCCCATAAACATGTTTGCTACCCTCATCTACTCACTCTTTACAGAATTTTGCCAGATCACAGGTCTTATTGTAAATCGCAGTCTTGTGTTTCTCTTTGAGTAGATGCAGGCCAAGCATCTGAAAGGGAAGACAATTATTGGCGTAGCGGCAGGCAGGTTTCATACTGTGCTCTGGACTAGAGATGCTGTGTACACAATGGGATTGAATGGGGGACAGCTGGGTAAGTAATCTACTGGCAATATCTGGAAAATAGAGTTAACTCTTAAATAGATGCATTTTGTGATTTGCTTATCTGTGTAATTCTTTAGGTTATTTACTAGATCCCAATGGAGAGAAGTGTGTAGCGGCTCCTCGTCAAGTCTCTGCTCTGCATCATAGAGATGTTGCACTCTCCTTGGTTGCTGCCAGTGATGGGGCCACAGCCTGTGTGACCACGAGGGGAGACGTTTACTTACTTGCAGACTATCAGTGCAAGAAGATGGCTTCTAAGTATGTGCACTTCTGTGAACGAAACCTCACTTTGGTATTGGCTCAGCTTCTTTCAGCAAATACTGACTTTGTGTTGTGCCTTATAAATTGTCATATTGAAAAATAAATGGGAATTTTTGCATATAACCTTTGTACTCTCTTTTCATGAGAGTATGAACTTTTCTAAAGTTCATAGCTTTAGATAATTAATCTTGTGACAACATCATCACTGGTTTGTGCAGCCATTTTTATAAGTTTTGTTTTGTATAAAGTAACTAAGTAAATGCCATTAACCCGTTACCCAGTCCAAGTGCTTATATCTAATTGGTATATTTTTCTCTTTGGGTTTGTGTGGCTTATTGTTATCACTAAGCATGTTCAAGTACTATTAAATAAACTAATAGTTGGTTGATCATAAACTCAATTAAAGCAGGGAATCATAAACATAAAATTTTAGTATGGATAGGTCCACCAATTGCAGTTCTGCCTTTGGTTCATGAACCATATTCGTATGGTACTAGAACAAGTTTCTAGTAATGTAAGTTCTACACCTGTACTTTAGGTATATTCTCTGTCATTTGTCATTGGTGCATCGATACCTGGTTTCATTACAGCTAAAACCAACTTTTTAACTTGGTGAATTAGGTAAAGTTCTCGGAACAGTTTTCATTAAACAATTTATACACGTTTTGCTTCAACTCATCTATTGCATGCTCATCAATGTATCCCACGTATCCTACTTCCTCCCTGTATTTCCTGTTTTCATTCTTCATTTCTTAACCCTCTGAACTTTGCCCTTGTATTAATGATGCTATTTTGTCTGCAATAGTTAACTATTCTAAAACAGAATGAGTTTGGTTTCAGACCTGAAACTTGCCTAAGGACCATAGTTTTTGAGCTTCTATCAGTCCATCTGACCAGTAAGCCTGGTCTCCTGTGACGTTGAGTTTTGTTCCATATTTTTCTTCTACTCTATTTAGGACTTTCTAATGTGATCCTTCTCAAAACATTTCATAGTGGTAGCCAGGTACCATTTAGTTCTTATCTCAGGGTTGTGAAAACTGGTGAGTGCATGATCCATTAGTCCATTAAACTAATTGTTTCCATATGCCTTTCCATTTTTATCATTCTTCCTTCCTCTGGATGGGCAGAGAACAATAGTGGCCCTTAGCTGGCTGCGCACAAGCTGTTAAGACCTCAGTCCCTATTCACCAAAGTGTAGGGCCGAGTATTGTCTTTGTGAATTATGCTATGCCGGTTGACCTGACGATGACTTGTCTATTCTTATTGATTCTATCATTCCACAGTACTCAACTTATCTAATAGATAATATTCACTTCCTTTCAATCAGTTATTTCATTAGTTTATATCATTTTAATTTTTTAACTATAGTAATAAATGCAAGTATTGAAATGGATTTCTGAGCAAATACACCTGATTCCTGGGTGAGTATAACTCAACTTCAGGAAGCAGTAGTGTACACGAAAGAATTCTAGAGGGCCACCATCTAACAATAAAGCAATTAGAAATTTAAATTAAAAGTCAAAAAATGTGCTTTTGCTTAATGCAAGTGAGATTGCATGTCATGATCAGATTCTATTCATAAAGTTATTTTATGAGCAGAAAATATCAATTATCAATGTGTGGCAATTTCCCTGTACAGCAGTTGAGTTACTTTTGACATGAGTTATAGGTCACATTTGAAAACCTGAAATATGAAAATGTGCAGGCACTTGTTTCTTAGAAGGAATTGGCTTTTTTCCCCCGAGTATGAAGTGATTTAAGTTGTTTTATTTAATGTTTATAAAATTTGCTTGTGATAACATTTTAATCCTGTTTTCATTAAGAAAAAAAAAATTTTTTTTTTAAAAAAGGAAATTCTTTTTGTTGCTGGATAAGTTCCAGCATAGTAATTTAATAAATATATCTTTTTTAACTTTGGAAAATATTAAAGTTTTTCATAGAGGCATTATTATTGTTTCACATTCTTTCAAAAGAATCATGTAGCTAATGGATAAGTTTTTATTACAGAAGAATAATAATGATTTTCATTTTATATATATATACTTAAGGCTTGCCATATTTGAAATTAATTTCATTTTGAAGTTTTAAATTTTCCTGCTAAATGCAAATATACTAGAGCCTTTGGCCACACTAGCTATTTAAACCGTAGAGCAAATGTGTGTTTTTGGCAGCCGAGCTGTTAGGTACTTAATGTGTGTATCTGTGTGGGAGGAGGCACTTGGGAGGGAAGGACTTGCATTAGACAGAAACTACTTTTGTATAAAGGGAAAGAGAGAAAAGAGAGATGGGACATACTGATTTTTTTGTGCTTTATCTTTCATAATAATCAGCCTGAGATTATTGTTTGAATAACGATTTCTTTAAAGTTGAGTCTGTTTATTTTGGAAAACATAATAATTTAGCTTTCTTGTCCATTGTCACTTAGACAACTGAATTTGAAAAAGATTCTTGTTTCTGGTGGACGCATGGAGTACAAGGTAGATCCTGAACACTTGAAAGAAAATGGGGGTCAGAAAATTTGTATTCTTGCAATGGATGAAGCTGGAAGGGTGCGTATCTCTTTACATAAAAGTGTAAGCTCATTGTCAGTAGCTATAAGGGGACTTGGCAATGTAAAAATGCTTTGTTATGTTAGTGAAACTTCCCATTGCTTTGGTTTCCTTAATTTTGACATTTGATACTAATTAGTATGGAGTTGGTATATGAAAGAATGATGACATTTAATTAGTATGCAATATTTGTGAAGTTGAAATTAAATTTTCATTTATTATGCTTAGAATGAAAATAAGAGGAGGCCCAATGTCCACCTGCCACCCTACTACCAAACCTATAATTATTTGCACCTAGGTCCGTTTCCC